AGCTGGGCGGAGCCAGCCGTGATCTTACGGCTGGCTCCGGCCACTTGCAGAGAGATCAGCGTCCCTGGTTACCAGCTAACCAGGGACACTGACTGATCTCCAGACAGCAAACTCTCCTTACATACCTTACATACCTTTTAAAAGCAGGCAAATCTAGCCCCATTCTCATACAGGAATCTGTGTTGGTTGGGTGTGGAAGGTTAATGCTCGTAAATGCAAATATGAGCACAGTGAGCAAGCAGAATCAATAAGAGTAATTAGAGTAATAGCAATAATAATAAGTAAGCCAAAAGTTTAAGTGTACCTCCGTCCTTAACTTTTTGGTTTTGTATAGATTAGGGAGAAACAAATACTTCTCTCACTTTGTATAGGAGTCTGTGACCACGTTGGGGATGTTTCACCTCATTCTTGTCCCTGTGACATGAGGAAAAGAAATAAGGGTCTGTTGTCACTGATGCAAGAAGACCACCGGACAGTAATATGCTCATATGTGGTCAGCATGTTTCCAGGGAACTTGTGCAACTATCTATGTTAGTAAAGAGAATACTGAAAATCCCATACAGGGCAAGAGGCACTGTACTATTTATTGTGATTCTGTCGCCATCTGCTGGACACAAATTATACTGCTTCCTAAAGTACTTTGCCTATAGCAGGCCGTCCTGAAAAATGAAAGTGTATATAAACCCAATGAACGAACGTCTTTCATTTATCCCTTTTGGTCTGGTAAATGGACCATTAAAGTGTTTTCTTATATCTGTTTGATAAGTGCAAAGTCCTGCCTGAAATTAAGTGAGCTGATAACTTCCTGTGCTCCCTGCTGCACTATTATCAGCTACATTGTTCCCAGCTATCTTTGTGGACTACAGAACACCTTCTGCTTATGTAAACGGAAGAGGACAGGTGTTATGTAGATTCTTCACACTTCCTGCCCTAGGGCATACAGTACTTCCCTCCTGTCCCTCATGTAGAACCAATTCTGTCTGCCCCTCTTTCCTCCTCAGTTGTCCTGCTTTTTGTTTTGATGTACAGATGCCTATGAAAATCTACTATTTACCTACCAAAAGTATTATTCTGCACCATAACCTTTATCTTACAGTGTCTCTTATATATATTGTTTAAAATTCCATAAAGCCAGTATAAAGGAAAATAAATGGCGAAATACTATTTTGAGTTTAAAGGAGAACTACGGGGTAAGTGTTTTACCCCATAGTTCTCCTAAGTGTCACGGGAGGACATAAACTAGCATCCTCCTGTGACCCAAAGCTCAGTATACCACGAGCTACAGCTCGCGGTATATGAGTGAGCGAGCGACCGTATGTGTTCGCTCACTTCCCGATCTATTGAGCCGACGTGTGACAGTTTAATTGTCACAGGTCGGCTCGAACTATGAGGTTGAGTGAAAATCACTCACCTATAGTTCTCCTTTAACCAATCATTTGGCATATAATGGTCCGCACACCTGGGGGCATGGCAGGGGTGTGTCCATTGCCTAAATACATTGTGCTGGAGGTGACCCTCTTTCCCATCTCAGAAAGTTGTGAGGTATGCCCTAGGGTGGCAACAGTGGTCCTCTATAGACAAAGCACATTCAGTGAGTGTTGTCACCCTAGGACAGGAAGTGTGCTATTCGTAGGTCCACCATATAAATATAAAGGAAACAAGCCTGAAAAAAGAAAACTAATGCAGCCACCACATCTAAGGACTGGTAAGCTGCAATACATTATATATATTTTTTGTCCTTGGTTTCGGATACTCTTTAACTTAGTGCGAATAAAAATGAGCACCTACAGTACTTTTTAATGCACTTTGTTCTTTGTATTCAGCACTATTCTGGATCACTATAGGCATTCAGGACTGTACTGTGGATACATGGGATCAGGCTGCGTACACTGAAGAAATGACAATGGGCAATCAGGATTATACTGCGGATACATGGGATCAGGCTGCGTACACTCAAGAGATTACTATTATTCAACTGCCTGGATGCTCAGTCAGCTGTCATTATTCAACCCCCGCTCCTGCCGGTTAGTTGCTAGGACTGCCTGTCATCATAAGCAACCAACCACCAGCAGCCAGGGAGTTGAATAATGACAGCGGGTTGAGAGACGCTGCTGGTGGTTGGTTGCTAGGACCACCCAGTTTCCTAGCAACCAACCGATAACATGCTGCCTCCCCAATTCCCGCCCATGCCAGCATTCCAATTAAGGTGCCTCTTGTTGCCCACCTACCCAAGTAACCCAGTGCACACATAAGGGGGAACTCTACACTATCAAATAAGGGGGAACTTTTGGGAGTCTGATGTAAGGGGTGATGCTGGGCACACAGTACCAGTGCCCCCCCCCCCTCTTACATCAGAATCCTTAGGGTTCCCCCTTACATTAGAGTCCTTAGGACTATGATTTTTAGGAGTCTTCTGAGGATGTTAATATAATATGTAAGAGGGAACTCTGGGGACTCTGATGCAAGGGGGACTCTGGACACTAAGTCCCCAGGGTTCCCCCCTTATGTCAGAGTCTTGGCCCCCTTCCTGATTTTTCATTGTTTTGCACGTTTGTCACACTTTAATGTTTCAGATCATCAAACAAATTTAAATATTAGTCAAAGATAACACAAGTAAACACAACATGCAGTTTTTAAAGGAAGCTTTTATTATTAAGGGAAAACAAAATCCAAACCCACATGGCCCTGTGTGAAAAAGTGTTTGCCCCCCTCCCCCCTGTTAA